CCCCAATATTCAACTGGAGTTGACATGTGGAGCGTCGGATGTATTTTTGCAGAAATTTTAAAAAAAGCTGCCTTATTCCAAGGTTTGTTATAACGATCACGTGCAAGAATCATATCTGTTAGATATAACTGGCCTCAAAAAATATATATATATATTAATTGTGTAGGCGAAAGCGAGATCGATCAAATTTTCAAGATATTTACGTATGTGTTTAATATGTATATTTTTTTTAAAAAAATGTTCAATATAAATATTGAGTCACGTGGTTCTACGAATTTGCAGTATTCTCGGAACTCCTGATGAAACACTTTGGCCAGGAGTAACTAGTCTTCCAAATTTCAATGTCACATTTCCATATTGGGAGCCGCAACCGCTCGAAAAATCCTTTACTGAATTGGACGATAGAGGAGTCGATCTTTTAGATGTAATGTGACTTGAACTTTTTTAAATAAATTTTATTGATTAATGTTATTATAATTATTAATATTATTATTTGTTATATAGGGATTTTTGACTTACGAACCTAGTTGTCGAATTTCAGCAAGAGCCGCACTTTTTCATCCTTATTTTGAAAATTGTAATGAAATGCCATTTTGAAGGAACGATATACATTTTTGTTTAATAGACATTTGGGAAAAGTTTTTTTTGTATAGGATATAATCATATTAAAAAATGTAGAAATGTAACAATACAATACAAAATTATATAAAATTAAAACATTAGAAATGAATGATTACTCCATATTTATTTTAAGTTTTTGAGAGACTCTGTCGAAAATAATTCAACTTGCGATTTCTATATATATATAATTTTTTTTTTCTACCATAATAAAGAGAAATTCTTATTTGCTTTATTGTTCGATAAAATTTTTTTGTAATATATTTTATTATTACGAAGGTTTATATACATTGTTTAGTGTATTAAGGTAATAAAGAATAAAAATATTTTTTTCGGGAATCGTATATATTAACAAAATTTTTGACTTGATAATTTATTTTGAATTCTACTGCGCATATGTTATTATTAGTTATAAAATTACGAGAATATAATATTTTGTAAATAGTCACTAAAATTTTTAATAAATAGTAGATAGAATAAATAAAAGAATTCTAAGAATTCTCTATTTATCCTACGTAATGAATATTAATAAAATATCCTTAACGACTAAACATAATCATCATTATTAACAATTTCTTTGGAATATCAAATGTTTTCCCTTGGAAGATATTATTACAATTCTTTAGCTAATTTTTCTAATAAACTTTGAACATTACCAACATTATCAAGATAATATTTAGCTTCAGTTTGCTTTTTACCGACTGTGCTAGTAATACAATCTGGAGAAATTTCTTTTAATAAAGAGAATACTGGTTCATCAGTTTTACCATCTCCAATACAAAGAACAAAATCTACTTCATCTTGTGGTTGATGTAAATCTTTAAGAATAGCTCGCACTGCTGTTGATTTATCAACTGAAGATGGTCTAACTTCCAAAGTCTTATTACCAAGTACAATCTAAAAGAAAAAAAAATATATATTATTAATATCAAGAAAATATGTACATAAATCAATTAATATAACACATACTGATAAAGCCATATGACTTAAAAGCTTTTCTAAATTAACTTGAAGTTCAGTTGCCTGCCATGTACCAAATTCTGGATCAGCACTACGGTAATGCCATGTTATGTTAATCTCCTTAGTTTCAATAAAAGATCCGGGTGTTCTTTCTTGATAATGTTCAAACAATGGAAGTATAGTTTCTTTCCATACGGGATCAACTTGCTCTACTAGTCTATACCATCCATTACTTTCACCTTTAATTGTTTTTCCTTCAGCTAAACAATTTGCAACCGGATCAACCACTCCGTTTAAACATTCAGGATGTTTATAAAAACATCCATGTTCAGCGGATAAACCAATTCCAGCAGAATTAAACCATTGATCAAGGTGTTCTCTCCCACGTCCAGATAATATGTAAACACATGTATTAGGTTTAGATTGAAGAGTCTTAAGTGTTGAAAGAACATTACTAGAAGGACTGGCAAATTCGGGTAATTTGTGAACAGCCGTTAGAGTCCCGTCATAATCTAATAATATTACTCTCCTTTTTTTGGAATTTTTTGCGAGATCCACTACTTGATTAATTTTCAATACTGGAAGTCGCATGTGATGAGTGAATTCTTCGCTAACCCGCTATGAAAATATTAAATATATGAATATATAAAATAAGGAAATTAAGAACATTGGATAAGGAATGTTAATAGTTACCCTTAATTCACTGACAAAGCTTGAACCCCAATAAGCAGCGGTATATTTGGTAACATACCGATATAGTTTAATATAATTTGATTTACGCAAATCATCGGACATAGTAACTGCTTCATGAATAGCATTGGCAAGCTCATCAGTATTCCATGGATTAACAATGATGGAACCTTTAAATTCAATGATATATAAATATGATGTGTAAGTTAATTATTAATTCGTAAAATAATAATAATAATACGATAATTACCATTTAGCGACTGAGCAGCACCTGCAAACTCACTAAGGATCAATACGCCATGTTTCTCTTGTTGGCATGACACGTATTCATACGATACGAGATTCATACCATCTCTGGTGGATGAAACTAGGCATGCATCCGATACCGCATACAAAGCTACTAATTCCTCAAATGAAACAGATTTGTGCATAAAATGAATTGGCATAAATTCGACAGTTCCGAACTTGCCATTAATCCTTCCGACAAGCTCATTGACAACTGCACGCAAATTTTGATATTCTTCTACATCTTGTCTAGAAGGTACAGCTACTTGAACAAGTACAACTTTGCCTATCCATTCAGGATGTTGACTTAAAAACACTTCAAGAGCATGGAACTTTTGTGGAACACCTTTGATATAATCAAGGCGATCTACTCCAACGATGATTTTCACACCTTTGAATTTTGATTCTAATGCTTTAATTCGTTCTTGAATCTTTGGCTGTTTTAAACCCTAAGTAATAAAAATCGAAAGCGGAATTGATAACTTTAGAACTGTGATTGAAACTAAAATGATAACAAAAAAACAACATATTATTTAACTTACTTCAGCAAACTTCTCAGGATCGATACCTATGGGGAATGTACCAACATGCACATGACGTCCTTCGAAGTCTATACTGTTTGGCATGGTAGATAAACCTAAAATACGTGTGCATGAAGACAAGAAATGACGAGCATAATCATATGTATGGAAACCGATAAGATCAGAATTCAATACCCCGTTAAGAACTTCTTTACGAACAGGCAAAATTCTATTTTTCCAAATGAATTCAGTTTAAAAAAACAATTTGAAGATCGCGTTTTTTTTTTAATATTTATAAAAAATAAACTTGCCGATATATTTCGCTGCTTGGAAATGGTGTATGTAAAAAGAAACCAATTTTTACATTGGATTTATTATCACCCATTCGTTCCCTTAACATGCTAGGTAACAGCATTAAATGATAATCTTGTACCCAAACCAAATCACCATCTTTTACAACTTCATTAATAGCATCAGCAAAAAGTCCATTGACTTTTTGATAAGCTTCCCAATCTTCTTGATCGAATGAAATTTCACCGGGATGATAATGAAATAACGGCCATAAGATAGAATTAGAAAATCCGTTGTAATGTCGATCCGCTAAATCATCGTCAACAAAAACTGGTAAACATGAATGTTGTTCTAATTTAGTAGTAACAATTTGTCTTTCTTCCTCTGGTATATTGATACCTAATAAACCAAAATTCATGATTCAAATGAGCGATACACTCATAACATGAATTGAATAAAACAATATTAATAAAAAAAAAATAAAGAACAACAACCAACCAGGCCAACCAATCCAAGTAAATGCCATCATCTTTTTTAACCCACTTAGAGCACTTACCAAGCCACCAGAAGACATTTTAAAAGAATAATCATTATTTGTCTTCGTAATGGTAACTGGTAAACGGTTCGAGACAACCAATAGTCTAACCTTGCCGTCCCCGGTAGACTTATTTAACGTGCCATTAGCAGGCTGTGACATTTTTAATTTATTTCTTGAAAAATGTTAAAAATGTTCAATTATGAAATAATTTTTTTTTTGGGTTTTCGAAAAAAATGGTTATTTATATGTAATTATCACATGCTAATTGCCGAAAGTTTACGACATTTATGTAATAAGGTTTTTATATAAATGACGTAGTAAGATTCACGAAATAAGGCGTAAAGCATAATTTATATTAAGTGATTTAACAGATAAGATACATTCTTTATTTATCCTCTCGATTGAACGTGGGTTAAATAAATATTTAATATATTTTAATCTCCTGACAAAAATCGTACTACAATATCAAAGATGAATGCTGATGTGATGATCAATTGGGTAATCTTAAATTTAGGCGAAGTTAGCTGAGATTAGCTGTGCCTAAAATATAATTGATTTCATTGGTAAACTTCTTTTATGGTAATCTGGGTAACCTTAGAATTATTTTTTTGCTTTCCGTTAAATTTTAAAATACTTTCTTATCGTTATCTTTATTGTGATTGAAACTTCAAAACGAATTGAACAGAGTATGATTTAACTTTGTATGTAATAATAAGTTTTGGTTAGTGTAAATGTGGGTTTTTTTTTTATAGTTTTTTTGTTTGTCTGACCAATTTTTTTTATTGATATTGTTTTATTAATAATAAACTTTACTTGTTTGAGAATTACTAAATATATGTTTTTTATTTTGTTCCTTTTTTAAATTTTTCGAAATACACCTTTTTGTTCGAAGGTTAGGTTAACTTCCACTTTAATTAATTTAGAGTTGTAAAGTTTTGTAAAATATTTAAATATTACTTTTTTTTATGTTGGTTTGAAAAGATCAAAAACGAAAAAAAAAGATCAAAAAATTTTCAATGTTCATATAATATAATTTATTAATAACAAATCACATATTTGATAAGAAAAAAAAGAACTTTATTATTTTATGGATAATGATGTTGAAGAATTATTATAATCGAAATCAAAGAAATAGTGGAGGATATTATAAAAGTGTAAATAGTATTTTTTTCTTATTACTATTATTAATATCACCACGTACTTCTGTTGGATTAGGATCTGTATCGGGTCCAAGTATTCAATTGGATGTTGTAGAATATGTTATAGGCAACGAAAGACGTGCTAGGCTCGCTGTTAATACCCCCATAAAAGAATATGAACGGGTGGAAATATTAGAAAATAGTGTTCCACCATCAAAGGAGGGAACACAGGTAAATACAAATAAAATATTAATTAATATTTCAAAAAAAAATTGTAATATTTTATTAATATAATTTTCATTTTATAATATTAGGGAATTTTATTTCAGTTAATACAAAATTGTGATGAAAAGAATTTAATGAATATAACAATGACACCAGGCGATGTAGTTAATGAAATTCCTTCAAGAATAGCATTAATAACAAATACAAGTTGTCCTTTATTATTACTTGATTCAGTAGATCGACAAAATGTCACAGGAGCAATCATTATAGCGAATTCATCAATTATAACAAATCCTACTTCATCGCCAAAAATTCCTAACAAATATAATTTTCCAATATATTATGTAAATAACGCTGCTCATGGTCAGGAAATTGTAGATTTTTTATTAAGTAATATTTACTATACAAGTCCAAACGAAAATGGAGAAGCCTTTAAATATCGTGTTAGAGCTCTCCTATTTCCTCAAGCTCCTTTCTTTCCTGGTGTTTGGGAATTTACCTTGATTGTTGTTGTTGTTTTATTAGCAGTATCATTCGTTACATCTGGTATGAATACCTCGTGTTAGCAATATTTTTTTAAAAACAAGATAAATCAAATTGAGGTTCACTTTTATTTTTCTTCTTTTAACAGTTGCTATGCATTGTCATCTTTATCGAATTCGACGTCGTCAAAGAGGAAGAGATAATCCAAGACCTTTTACTTATCGCATGAAAATGTTAACAATAAGCGATGACACGTTGGCCTCTTTCCCGATCAGAACTTATACGGCACCTATATCAAATAACGAAATTGTGGAAACTCAATCCAATATGGAGATTAAGGATGCTCAAAATGAGGACAATATTCCAAAACAAAATGAGAAAAGTATTGAAGCCCAAGACTTATCGGTAACTACGCAAACTGCGCCTGTTACACAGCTTACATCTGAATCAGAAGATAAAGAAATAATTGACAAAAATGAAAAAATCGATGAAAAGGGCACTGTATCAATTAATATACCATCATCAAACAATATACCTATTGATGTAATGCCTTCTATTCCTTTAGTCCTTAACCGTCAAGTATCAATTAAATCAGACCGTCCAACTGCTTTAAGTCGTCACATCTCGGTGAAATCTCAACATGCTGGTATTAATCGTCATGTATCGGTTCGTTCAGCACGTTCAACAAAATCTACACGTTCAGAAAATGCGATATCAGCAGCAACAGCTCTATGTGAAGAATCAGGGGCTCATGTGGACGATCATGATTCGCAAACACATTATAGTACAATGTGTGCTATTTGTCTTGATGAATTTGAGAATGGTGATCAACTTCGAGCTTTGCCTTGTAATCATGAATTCCATCACGAGTGTATTGGTAATTAACGATTTCTCTTATTTATAAAGATTATTTTGTAATAAAATGAATGAATTAACTCAGTTAATCCCATTTTCAATCTTTAGACCCTTGGCTCACACAAAAATCATCACTTTGCCCGCTATGTAAATTTGATTGTGTACCAGAAAGTAGTAAGACACAATATGATTCCGAGACAGATTCAACAAATACATCAGGAAATAATAGAAATTTCATAGTTATGATACTTTTAGCATGGTGGCCTATTGCATATATTCGTGCAAGGTTTATAAGATGGAGTGAGAATCGAAGGAACAATTCTAATGTGGTTGATGATGTATCTACTACGAACCATCAACCAATTATACCATCACCACAAGGTTTATCGTCATCTAGAAGAATTGAAATAATCACTTCAAATAATAATGGGTTGCATAGACAAGGTAATGGTGAAGTTTTACGAGAACTTGCTATGCAATCTAGCTTGGCTGGAATATAAAAATATTTATACAATTTTATAGACTTGGGAATAAATTTGTTTGTATATTTGAAAAAAGGGGGTGTTGGATAAAGTTATACTATTTAGTGTAATAAATAATTATTATGATTTCTCTAGGGTTTGTTGATATAAAAAAAAAAAATTTCAAAAACCAAAATAATTAATTATTATTAAAAGAAAAAAAATTGCTAGCTTAATGCACAAAATTTATCCTTTTTCCAGTGAAATAATTTTATTCTATTGAAAGAAAAACATTAACTTTTCATTTAGATTGATATGATTTGATCCTAACCATTAAAATAAGCAAAGTTATAATTTATTATTTATTATAATTCATTTTAAGAAATAATTTAATAGCATTTAAATTTAAACCAAATAAAATAATACTTAATTTTACTATATATAAAAATATAAAATATAATATAAACATGTTAACTATATTAAATATATCAAATATGTAAATTATATTTGATATTATAATGTTACATATGTAATTAACCTTGTAGATCATCTAGTAGATCAATTTTGTGAAACATGATGATCATTTACTATGCCATATTTATAACAATATTTAGAAAGATAGAAACTTGGATTTTCTCTAGCCTAATGCTAATGTTCTTATTATTTTTTTTATTTTTTTTATTTCATTATCTTTCTTTTATTTATTTTTTATTATTATATTATTATCAATAAACACTTTTTTAATTATTTTTATATCTTTGTAAGTTTTTATAACATACAGATTTTAGTGAATTTATAATCTTTATAATTACATAAATTCTTGAGAGTTTTACTAATATATAGTTTTTATAAATCTTAATAATAATTTATCAGCTTTTAAGAATTACCAGTCTTAATAATATACAGTTTTCGTTAGGATTTCTCAAAATCGAATCAAATCAAATATTTAAACAATTTGAATTTGATTTGATTTTTTCAAATCAAATCAAATCAAATCAAATTGAACTCAAATATTTGATCGAATCAAT